TGGCTGCTGAGCCTGCGCGTCCGGAGCCTGTGCTCTGCAACGGGAGAGGCCACAGCAGTGAGAGGCCCGCCGAACACCAAAAAAAAAAAAAAAAAAAAAGGTTCCCAAGAGTACTTTAGTCAACTAGTGGTTGACTTTCCTAATGATACCAATAACGAAAATCATTCACAATAAAAAGTTCTTTAAGTATTAATTGCATACATGCATAATTGAATAAATTTCAGTCCTCAAACTCTGAATCCCTGAATAAGATCTAGACAGCAATCAATGTGTTTTCAATTAAAGAGGACTTTCTTATAATTATCCAGTTCAGTAACAGAGTTAGTAGGCTATGAGATTAACTTATTTATATCAATGATCCAGAATTAATAATACTGAGTATTTAAATTATTTGTTAAATGAATTATGAAAAATAATTACAACGAAATTATCTTTAATAGTACTTATTTACTGATATATTGGTGAATGTTTTTGTGTAGACTTTTAAGAATTAATATTAGCTTAAATCTTTCTACTTAATCTTGAGTTTAAATGGAAATTTAAATCTCTTCCAATTAAAATGACTTAAAAATAATGAGCATTTTTCATTTACCTTGACTTCATGTTTTTCACATAGTAAATAGCAAAGAGAAAACAGAGCCCAGGATTAAGTTCTTATTTTTCAATTACAACAGATAATTTATGAGCAATGATATGTTTAAAGATACTAAATAATTGCTTTGTAAAATTGTTTGATGCCCAACACACTTTCCTTTCTTCCTTCTCTTATTCCAAGGTTATATATATATATATATTGGATATATCCCAAAGCCAATAAAACTGACACTACATCAAATAATTTGTGACCTGCTAGGTAAAAACAAGTCTTAACAGGGTCTTTTGAAGAAAGATTTAGAATTTTTTCAGGTATTATTATAAAAATTTCAAAACAAAACAAAGCCTGCCAGAACATAGGAAGTTCTGGAAGTTATGTTGGTACTGAAGGATATAGGAGTCATCCAGGTGAGCAGAAGAGGGTTCCAGAACAAGATACAGAAAGTTTTGATAACTCAGCAAATGTTTCTCCATTCTCTCAACTTGGAATTGAAGACATACACCTGAGTTTCTGCTCATTGGGCTATCATTTATTTCATTATATATGAAAATTTTCACACGTTTCAAACATCGAAAAAACCTCACACACTGCACAATTTTTTCACTTTTTGTAAGGAAAAATAGACCTCATAGCTTTCAAACTATATATTCAAGTGTTTGTCAGTGTACAGGCTACATGTATTATGTTGCTACTAGGTGCAATTGAATGGTATACCAAGAGGTACCTTTTATTTTTTTTCATTGTCTCAGTGTATGTTTATGTATGTACCCATGCCATTGAATGCATATTGTGTTAGAAATACAAAGGCAGGCCAAAAAAAAAAAAAAATGTAATACTAAACAATTGCTCAAATAAACTTTTAAAAATTTAATTTCAGAATTGACACAATATATCCAACCTAATATGAATAGTTACTTCTTCACAGGAGGCTTTATGGAGACTGAAGCTGCAGCTCAGGAGTCCCTGGGGTTAGGCAAACTTGGAACTCAAGCCGAGAAGGATAGAAGACTGAAGAAAAAGTAGGTTTGGAGATTTTTTTTTTCTAACTTTTACTTTGTGTCATTGTTTGTGGGGAATTAAAAAGAGAGTAATTGGAAACAAAACAATAGACAGAGGCCAGTAGTGTCCTGGTCTTCCCTAAAACTATTTGGTGCACCAGTTTCATAGTTATAATGGGCTAACTATTAAAATAAAAATCTTTGGCCCATAGTAGAAATAAAGTTTTTTTCTAGGGATCATTTATTTGAAAACTCAAATATATTTAAAATATTCAAATGTAGCCTTACAAATAATGTAATATTCCATTTGATGTTAAATTCTACTGAATTGTTATGATGAAATGAGAGAGTATCCAGCTTTGTGTTCCTCTCACAATAATTAAAGGCCCTCCTCTTAAAATGGAGTCTTTAAAAGGAGAATGTTTCTCTGACTGACTGAACATAAACTTATTTTAGACTCACAGCAGATTGTTTTGCATCTGTCAGGAAACTGATAGTGTATTTTTTTTCATTCATGTATAATATGGAACCTTTAAATGACTTGCAAAACTGGCAATTTTGGAGTCTCAGCAGCTGTTAGAAAGCAAGTGGGTCCATATATAACATATTTTTTAAAAGCTTAGTAACATTTTCACTGATGAAATAGGACCTTTAGACCATGTTCTTTAAAATCCAAAGAATTTCTCTTTATTCCAGAATCATTTGGTTGGTTACTCCTTTTCTTCCCTCTCAAATATTACATTATGTTTATAGTTTTCATATTAACCTTCTTTCCTATGAAAGAATGTTCATCGCTTTAGTCATCACTATTGTAACATGGTTATATTAGTCAGGCTAATGTGCACATGGTTATACTAGTCAGGCTAATTAACTTACTTCATATTTTGCCTTCTCACTTGCTTTGCAGATGTTTGCGAATAATGAAGAAATATGTAGTTACAAGTTGTAGAAAAGTCCACTAGTCTAATTGTGTCATTAATTTTCTACTTACTAAAATTAGTTATATACCTAAATTTAGTAGAAATACTGTTCAGAAAAAAGAAGTGACCGTGGGAGCATTATTTCTTGAAGACAATTAAATGCTCAGTCACATTCCACACTAATAAATATTCCCTCTTTCATTACTGATTACTCAAAAGTATATTTAAATATTATCACAGTCTGTTCCTATCAATAAATGTTATATTTTATGGTTATATCCTGAGAAAAAAAATCTTCTCCTTTGATTGACTCTAAAATTTATTTGATGTCTAAAGGATTTTGAATGTATTTATTTAAGATTGCTTTAAATCTAAATGAATAAGAATAATCAAAACCTAGCCTGACAAATGGACATGGTTTATTTCCCTTAAAAGTTAATTCTCATTTTTCCCACAATGAAATGTTTACAAATAATGGCAATCTGGCCAGTTTTCATATTGCATATAAGGCAGTGCCTCATACAGTTCATTTGTTGTTTATAGACCAAGTTAAGTGTCCATTTTAACAGCTACTAAAGTTAAAAAATTCCAATTATACAATGACTTGACAATATCATAAATTTAGAATTAAAGTTTAGCAATTGTTAAGTTTACACACTGTTGGATTGATGTGATATTAATTTTATGGAATTATTTCTTGAATCCTAAGTATCCTCATAGTCAGAAAGTGATTTTAGTTCTGGACTTGGTTTGAGATCTTACTATGCTTGACTTTATTGTTTCATTTTGCAATATGTTTTGGCAAAATATAATTTTTAAATGTAGTAAATAGAATACTAGTCTTGAATATTAAGAAGAATATTAAAAACAAACTATAATACAACAAAGGTTAACATTCCTTAGCACAACTATATCCTATAGAATAATAATATTTGGGTTAAAATGGATCCAACAAGGCTAGCGTTGTTAATCAGTGAAAGGACAGAAATATCTCTCTTATTGTTGATCATCTCATAGCAAAGCCCTGTGAGCACAAATATGCAACCTGTATTTGTAAGACATATAAGGAAGTGCTAACACTTATTCAGGACTTCCATGGCACCATGCCTGGGTTTCTGGGTTACCAAAGAGTGAAGTGCCTTCATGTAATGGGTTTTACAAGTTAAGCAAGGTAAATTATTTTTAAATGACATAGTTTCAAAATTTACTTCTATCAAATGTATTATTAATTATGATTAAATATTGATCACGTTCTCAAATTTTCTAAAGCATTTACAATTTTATTTAAACAATTCCAATATTCTTTTTTTAAAAGACACCATATCCTCTTTAAGTGTGCTTCAAGGAATCATACTCTTTTCTGTGTTCAAATTTCATGTGTACTTGTCTACTTTCAAGATAGAAAAAAATTCAAGTACATTTTTTGAAAAAATACACAAAAAAATGGAGCAAACTATTTCAAAATGTTGAACACTATAGATTGTACATGCATGCTTGCAATGACTATAGTTTCTTAACAGTTGTTTTTCTACATTTTATCTAATGACCAAGCCAAATGATGTGTCCAGGACATAGTACTTAGACCTATGATCACTGTACCAAAGTTCATATCAGAGATTCATTAGTCTACCTGTGGGAATAGCAGAGCTGGAAAAAAGTCTTCTTTTTAACTTTACCAGGATATCAGGTATCTACAGTTGACAATCTGTGAATTTAAATTTAATTGGAAGAAATCTTTAAAAAGTTACTTATGACACATTTTTAAAAACCATATGGGGGACATACTTTCAGAAAGCAGCATTCAAGACATTCCAAATTCTTGCAAAGTTCAGAAATTTACAATGTTAGCAGTCCCAAACAAAGGTCTAATTTGAGGTGAATTTACCATCCAGCAAATTAAACACATGTAGATTAAAGCATTTTACTTGGTCTGTGTTCCTACTTTGTTCTACTTCTACTTTGCTTTCTGGTGCAGAAATTTGTTTTTCTTATATTTCTAGCTACTGTCCTATAATGACAAATAGGAAATCAACAATACTGGATCTGTTAAAGCACCTACTGTTCTAAAAATTCTTGAGTTGAGTATTATCTTCCTGAGTTGTGTATTATCACTCAGGTGCTATTCTTCCATCAGAACAACATCTAATCTTAAGGTCTAAAGTCAATCTATTGTTGTTCTACCTGGTTCATTTTTACTACATCTTATCTTTGTTGTACTTTACTTTAAAGCTTTAATTCCGTAAATTTCTTCACCAGGCTTATATAGAGTACAGTCAATACCTACAATAATTGCATCAAACTGAAACTCATCTTGTAATCCTTCGAGTACTTCATATTAATTTGTCTAGCCTTCCCCTTTAAAATTGGACCAGTTTTTCTGCAGTCTTGTTGTATAGTTCTCCTAATCTTTAAGGATTGAGTCACTTATTATTTGCAATATGTGTCTCCATATTAAATTTATGATTCTCCACAGTTTTCTCAATGTGTCACTACTCTCTGAGATCTTTTCCATCATGCCTTGTTTGATTTCATTGGATGGCAAGCGTCTTTTCTGATTTAACCCAAACTGAATATCTTCTTCATTTCTAAGACTAGACCTGAGAACTTCACTTCTTCTCTTTTACACTTATCTTCCTGATCTTCAAGAGCTTATTTCCCTTTCTTAGCTCCCCAGCAAATGTTTTAGACTAAGACCTAAAGCTACTTGCTCAGGATGGCCAATGAAAGTCAACCACACAACTCCAAAAAATAACTGCACAGCATAATAGAAGCTACTGCAAGGTCAAAAATGTACATGGTCTGGCCCACCAAGAACCTCAATTTATGAATGTTCTTTAACTCCCAAACTTCACTTAGAATCTAGGTGTGGGTATTTTAATACCCAGTAAATAGAAACTCTGTTCTTTGCCAAAGTTTAGAATTTATTTGGTAATAGACAAAGGAGTCAGACAATAAGAGATCAGAATGTCAGCTTTATTACTGATACAGCTGATAGAACATGATTTAGGTATATGGGAAAAAGGGAGGTTCCTAAAACTGAACCCCCAAGTTAGATAAAGTTACCTGACACAGAAAGAGCTGGGTAGTCATAGGTTTCCAAGATGTGAAAGTATAAGCCCCATCTCTCCTTAAAAATAGCATCTACAATATTATGATTCCATAAATATGTTACTCTAGAATCAATAACTATGAACTCACAAGGAAGAAAATGAAATTTTATGTCATTAGCATCTTTGCCTAAAAAATAATTTTAGAAGTATCAATGTATTTGTATTAATATCTCTTCAGATTTCTTACCTTATTTTTTCTCCTGGAACATATTTAGCTGCCAATTTCCCATATCGCCATCTCTGGAAATGTGTTGATAAGGTTTATGACAAACTTCTTAAGATCTATAAATATATTTTATACATAAAATTAATTGAAAATTGTAAAAGTATTGGTTTAAAATAATTTTTCCTCAAACTTTAAACATAGTGCTTTTCTGGCTTCCAGTTATGTCTAATGTCAATTGATTGTCATTCTTTTACATATAACGTATAGGATTTCTCTTTCCTTTCTTTCTCTCTCTCTCTCTCTCCTGAAAGTTTGAGTTCTCCCTTTATCTTTGAGGTTCAGAAATGTCATAAGTATGTTTATATTCAAATGATTTTTATGTTTCATTTTTCTATTTCATACTTTCAATCTAAAGACTTGTTAGACTAGACTGTGTTACATGTATTGACTTAAAAGATTTTTATTTCTAGACTTAACTTTGATTCTAAGAAGCTTATTTTTACAGAGACTTATGAGATTAAAGATGAAGTTGTCTGTTTCAGCAGTAATACACCTGTCTAACTCTCACGACAGTCCTTGATAGGCAGTCAATGTATTAAAATCGACAGAATACCCAGTGAATGGTTACTTAGCTCCAGAAATACAAATCCTGAAATATCTGTGTCATCTGCTAATGTTTTTCTCCTGCATTTTAACACTGTGTAATTTTTTATTAAAACATATATGCATGTTGAAATCTTCTGTATCTTGAGACTAAATTGAAAGATACCATATGAATATCAATATACTAATATATCATTTTCAATCTTTAGTTATAATATAGGT